AGAGGATCATAAAGTAAAAAGTAGCATTGGAAAGTTGCAAAAGCAATTTGACACTCCAATGAGTGCATTAGGTAACTCAAGTGTATTTAACTGTGAGAATGTGTGAAGCTCCAGTTTTACAGACTAAATATTTAACATATTTAAATCAGGATTTGTTAAACTCTAGAGAGGAGAGAGACCAATACTGGTAACATGGGGACTTCTTATTAATGACTGATGCATTCTGCCAGTCCAAGGACAAGTAGAAAGGGGATGAGTAATTTAGCTTTTAGTTAATGTAAACAATATTAAAAACGTATGCATTTTCAGTGTTAATTGTAGACCTGAAACTCTAGTCTATAGATTCAGGATTAAAAAGTTGAAAGTAATGGCAACATTTTACGCACATTTAACTCACAACAGTTAAATTGTTTGGAAACCCATCTGCGCATAAGCTTAGTATCTTAGACCAGTGATGTTCCTAATATATGAAGTTCCAGGTCATGGATTTTTTTTATTTTTATTAATTGTTAAACTTTGTATTTACATTTTGCTAGAGTTCATTCATACATGTGAAAGTCTTTGCCATGAAGGAGACTGTAGACCATGTTCTCACACGTCAAATATTTATTGTAGATGTGGCTTCAAAAAAAAGGTAAGTGTATAAAGCTTGACCATGGAAGCAACAGGTAATCTTTGTTCTTTTTTAAAGCTTTGGTGAAAAAGGAACTGAAACAATTGGGGAAAAGAAAGCTAAGAAGTATAAGACGTGCTGTGTTCCTTGGTTGCAAGAACCTTCATTGTGTATTAACTAATTGAAACTATATTATACTGTGAAATGCTAACATAGACTGCTTACTTCAAGAAACTGCTTTCACAGTATTTTTTCAGAGTTTACATAGAATTGTTTAAGCTGACTGTAAAATCCTGTATTACCCTGCAGTACTTACACAGCATGAAGAATTGTAGTTTTATTGAGTCACATAAACTGAGAGAAGTAAGGTAGCCTAACAAAATGCTAAACTAAAGCTCTGTGGTAATAGCTTGTAGATTTGTTGCAGGTGGTTTTTTTTCTGAGAGAGAATATGAAGTTTTTTACTGGTCCCTATTCTTCATACAATTATGTAGGGACTAAACATCCTCAGCAATTGTTATGTAAATAATTAGTATGTTTTTAAACTATGCTACTTTCTGTTACTGTAGCTTTGAAATCTTTGGCTACTGTCATAGGAGCCGCGATGACCTTTCTAGCCTGTCATATCTGATCTATAAGTATAGATGGCTTCTGAATATGTAAGTCTATAAATACGTAGAAATTACTGACACTTTGCTTGAGGTTGGAACAGTTTTCTTCTGCAAGTTTGCTGCAGGTAGTTATGGAGTAGTTATGGAGTAGAAGACTTCAGATTGTCTTTTATTTTGAGGCCTGAAACAAATTACTTAGGTTTGGGTTTTAGTTCATGCAGCTTCTCAGTCACCAGAAAACTGCTCCTTGAAGAAGTGTCAATGAACTACAATGATTATGATTTAAATCTGTCACGAAAAATGTGTTGCTCAGAAATGACAGTGCAGAATGTAAAGTAGTGATGACTGAAGTTTCAAATCCAGTCAATGAACAATGTTAATTTCATGTTAAGGTCATCAGTCTAGGTGAAACTTCTTTGATCGTGAAATTTGACTTCACTTTTTTATTAATCAAGATGGACTTGTGTTTTTGGGACAGGTGGACAAAATGCAAATATATGCGCTCTACCAATATTCTCTGGGAAAGCTCGTGATTTCTTCCATGCAAAGTTCTGATTTCTTAGGCCGAACCTGCTTCTGCCACTGCACTGTCTGCTGAATTAAGTGGGGAATACTAACTAGGTTTTTTTTTAATTTGTATTGAATCTCTAAGGAAAAAGTATTGTGTTAACAGATTGGAGGATTTTTTCCCAGCTTTTGTTTCACTTAAATACGGAAGTATCATATACATGAAACCTGAGAGGGCTTCTTTCTGTATCTTGTGACTAGGTGTTTTCTAGAAAAGCAAATTTCAGGTGTTTCATCTGTTTTAACCTAATGGTTCCCTGTTTGTTTCCTAGGAAGTCCCATGTGCTCTCCTCAGAAATAAAGGTACAATGTTGTATTATATATATAATGTGAAATTATTTTTAAAACAATACACAGCCCATATTAATTTTGTATTTGATTAAAAAAATTGGCAAATAACTGATGAGTACTGCTTCTTTTATCCATACTTCTTTTACAAGTTGGTCATTTCTTGAGATGCTGCTATTTTGGGGAAGCGTTTTGAAATAAACCTCTTCATTTTTGTCCATCTTTTACATAAGGAAAGACTTCTTCAGCATTTGAGCTCAAAGAGTCCAGACAAGTTGTCTATTTCAATTTGAACATTGAATAAGGCCACCTGCCATATGAATAGGTTGCCCACCCCGCCCCAAATCCTGCATATAATTGAGTCAGCCTGCACAGCTCACATGCAAAGTAATGCTTCTGCTCTGCTCTTATCTGTATTCCTGGGGAAATAAAAGCTTTTATTCTGCTTTGCAGTTGTATGCTGCTGGCCTTTGCACCTGAGCTTGGCAGATGATGCTTCTTGGTATTCTGGATGTGTTATTTCACAATTCATCTCAGTGAAATGTTTACTTGGTGGACATACTGAGTACTGTCATAGTGAGGTACTTATTTACGAGATACCTAAGGAAGTAGTGTCCATATTTCCCAATTTGAGCTTTTGTCTGTGAAGGCTCTGCTCTTTAGAATCCAGAAGTGTTTGCTTTTGCTACTGTGGATGGTGATAAGGATTTTCTTTGTTAGCACTAGTTTCGTGAGCATATCGACAGTATTGTATTTAGCTGACTTTTACTGCATTGAGTAGTCTTAAATTGGATGATTTTTGGTACTACAGTGTATCAGGGTATCCCGTTTTCTGTGTTCTATTGTGCAGAAGTGATGGTGTACAGACTAATGTGAAATAAACTAGTTTCATGTATTCTGCTCTCCAAAACCCTTTTGAACAGAAGTTTGTTTAAAGGAAGCTGAATGTTCACATGGGGAATTAATGTGGGAGAGCAAGTAATTTAAAACTTTGCTTGCTGTCTTGCTCTTTTATTAGTCTTTTCTAGACCATGCTAGACAATAGCTTGAGCGTAATATTGTGATCACAGCTTTCATTCTCAGCATAAGCAAAGACATAACATAAAAGTTATGACTGTTTTGGTCAGGTTTTTTTTGTTGTTTTTAATAGCTGCTATTACATTCATGTGTGACAAACGATGCAACAAGAAAAGATCATGTGGACGACACAAGTGTAATGAAGTTTGCTGTGTGGTAAGTTTACATGTGGTTTTGTGAAATTGTTTGTTGGGATGTTAAAAGACTTTTGCTTTTGTATCTTTGTATTGTTGGAGCACCACCCCTATGAAGGCAGGCTGAGGGAGTTGGGATTGTTCAGCCTGGAGAAAAGAAGGCTCTGGGGAGACCTTATAGAGGCCTTCCAGTTCCTAAAGGGGGCACACAGGAAAGCTGGAGAGGGTGTTTTCACAAGGCCATGTAGTGATAGGACAAGGGGTAATGGCTTTAAATTGAAAGAGCGTAGGTTTAGATCAGATATAGGGAAGAAATTCTTCACTGGGAGGGTGGTGAGGCACTGGAACAGGTTGCCCGGAGAAGTCATGGAAACCACCTCCCTGGAAGTGTTCAAGGCTAGGCTGGATGAGGTTTTGACTACCTCTAGTGGGAGCTCTCTCTGCCCACGGCAAGGGGGTGGAACTAGATAGTCTTTAAGGTCCCATCCAGCCCAAACCATTCTATCATTCCATGATCTTCAGTCTCTATTTGCAGTATTGGTTATGCTCAAAAGGTTTGTGCCTGTGCATTTATTTTGCAGCATTTGCTTTATGAGTATCATTATAAATGTAAACTAATGTTCCAGCCTAAATGCAGTTAAATCAGTGTAAAGGTGCTTTTAGCCAACGCGGTGATTGTGGAGAGAATGCGGATGGGAAAGATAATACAAGAAGCATAAGCTGTGATGTAGCTATGTCTGCAACGGAGGTCTTAAGAGAATCTGCTTTAAAAAATGTGTATCCATACAATGATGGAAAAAACATATAGATCAGGTTTAAGGGATTTTTTCTACTGTAACGTTTTATCAACTAGTAGATTATGACCTCACATAAATAAATAAACCAGTGGGATTTATATTTTAATTCTGCTTTTCTTTTTTTTTACCTTCCCCTAGGACACAGAACATAAATGTTCTTTGGTTTGTGGTCGTAAACTCAACTGTGGAATTCATAGATGTGAAGAACCTTGTCATCGGGGCAGTTGTCAAACATGCTGGCAAACAAGTGAGTTACATGCAAGACTACATTATTTCTTACATACTATAGAAATTTAGTCATTCAGCTAGTCAGTTGGACAGAGAGGGTGATCCAAATTGACCAGAACCAATATAGAGTTGATTTGAATTTTATGTTTTTTCTGGAAAAGAAAGTTATTTCATTTTAGATGAGTTCACTAAGTATTGAATTTTAGTAGTTAAAACTGAATTATAGTGAAATATATTGTGTATGTTGATCCAGCAGTTACTTAAGAAATTCATGCAAGGATTATACAAGGGGAAAGAAGAAGCAGTTTAGAAAGATATTTTTTAAGTTAAGGCAACTCTTGTTTAACAATGCAATAACTGTTAAAGATAGTGAAGTATATGGCAGAATTTGTCTAGCCGCTTAGAATTCGGAGTTTCCCAGCTTGGTACACTAGTGACTTTTCTCTGGACAGGATCATCTGAAGAAATAAGAGTTGTCAGTGATGTGTGTCTTAGTCTTTCTGGTCATGTTCTGGATCGTAAAAATCAGTATTGAATTGCTAGAAATAGATTGACAGCCATCAAATATTAATTTCTTTAGGATTTCTGCAATCTCAGTGTATATTCTGTGTATGAGCAGTCTAAATGCCTGCAACTGGAGACTTGGCTGCTGATCATGGGAGCACACAGTCTCTGTGCTAGCAACTGGAGGGACCAGACAGACTGTATGCCAGCATCTGGAGAATGGGATCACAGGTGATAGGGCCCCTTGGTCTGGGTGCCAGCACCTGGAGAGACGGGGTGTGTGTCATTCCCTTGTGTGTACCTATGTATGTCTGGGTAATTTGCTAATGAATATGCTTCAAAGCTAGACTGACTGGCTAGTAGGAGGAGATCTGCCTCTCGAAATACTCAGTAAGTTTCAGCCATTGACTGGGTAAGAACTTGGTCTGTGTACAGATGTTAGACAGAGCCTATGCTAATATTTGAGGCCCGTTAATGTGAGCATGTGAATCTAGACTGTGTGTGTGTCTTCACTAGTGAGCTTCAGTCTTGATGAGCTGGAGAGGAGGAAGAGAACATGACTATTGATATTCCTGTTTATGTTAATCTTGTTGTACTAATGCTCTGCATTAGTCTGTGTGTCCAGTCATGTTGTTGTCATCACAGAATGATAAGGAGTTGGAAGGGACGTCTGGAGATCATCTAGTTCAGTCACCTGCCACAACAGGTTCACCTAGAGCAGGTTGCATAGAGTGGTGTCCAGGCAGTTTCTGAAAGTGTCCAAAGACAGAGAATCCACAGCCTTTCTGGGCAGCCTCTTGCAGTGCTCTGCCACCCTCAAAGTAAAGAAGTTCCTCCTCATGTTTTCGTGGAACATCCTGTGTTCAAGTTTGTGCCCATTTTGTCTTGTCCTGTGACTGCGCACGTATGTGTTGGGTGTCTTTCTGGAATATGTATTCAATCTTGTCACTGGCTGGACCTGCATATTGATCCAGCAGCCATCTCTGGAAGTATCCAGCAGTATCTCTGCAAGTGGGAGAGCAGGAGTCTTTGGGATTTTATTCAACAGGTTTTACTCTGATAGACTAGGAAAGAGGAATCCTGTGATTCCCAGTCGGAGAACTTGCTGAATTCAATAGCTGCCTTAACACACTCATCTTTTCCGCAGGTTGGATTTGTTGTTTTGTATTTTTATTGCCCTGTTATTCTGTTGCCTCCTCTGTTGTTCTCTCTTATTCTCCCTGATACACTATGTCTTTATTCATTTATGGAACAATCATATTCTCTTTTTGTTCTCAAATTTCCTTCTGTATGACTTGATGTTGGTATTTTCTCTGTGTCCTGTTTTTCTAAGGATTAATCTATTTGAACTGTAGTTTGCATTCCAGTCAGTCTCCCTCCAAGCTTCTTTATAGTCACAAATACAGCAGTGAACTGTATTAAATTGTGTTAATTTTACTTGGGATGGTGTATGTAAGTATTTTATTCCTTTGTTTATTTTATCACTGAGATTTGGAAGTGTTTAAAATCTGTTTCCCAAATGCGGAAGGAAAAGATGAACAGAAGTATACTGCCTGAGACAGAGAACTTCCGAAACATACAAAGGTAGCTTTGGAGTATTTGGACAGGTTCATAAGCTGCTTATGAGGATCCGTGTAATACTAAATGACATAAAGAAGTATACGAAATGACATAAAGAAGTATACAAAAGAAATTGTAGGACGAAGTCTACAGACTGGCGGCCTTTTTGGTAATTTTCTCTGGAATCTTCCCAGTACCATGGGCAGGGCTTGATAGAAGAACAAAATGTAGCCAGTGGTCTGAAAATGTGATAGTGGGAGCAAGTCTGGAACACAAAATTTAGATAATGTCCTTAGTGGAAAGATATCTCTTGAATTCCCTCCCACATTTAAGTCAAAGATAGAAAACAACAAAATGTTGATGTCAAAGAAACACTTTCTAAAAGCAAACACAATTCCTAGTGAAGTGGTCATAGTTCAGTGTACTTATAGGAGCCATAAAAGCTAGTAAATCCACTACAGTAGTGCTTAATATCAAAAATGAAGCTGGAGTAAAATATTTGCATGTTATTCAAAGATTTATTTTGTTTTATGGTGGAAAAGAGAAAATACATGTAGCCATTTGGACATATTTGACTTGTTTTTTCAGGTTTTGATGAGTTAACTTGTTACTGTGGTGAATCTGTGATTTACCCCCCTGTCCCCTGTGGCACACAGCCACCAGAATGTAAAAAAATATGCACCAGGCCACATGACTGTGATCATCCAGGTAAGTCTGGGTATTCAGTTTTGCTTGAGTTTTTTCTTTTGTTTAGGTTTTTTTAAATCAAAATGTAGAAAAGTTTATGTAGGTCTGTTTGAGAATATATTTGCATTTTCAATAGTTGTGGCTATTTCCAACACTTACAGACCAACCAACTAAAAACTTGACATGAGTACTAGTAGTGACATTTCTGACTTGTAAAAGCATCAGGTTTTTTTCCGATCGTTACTAATAGGCACAACACATTAAATACTACATTCCACAGATTAAGTGCTCTATTGAAATGGTAGGATTATCTAATGAACAGTTAGTTTATACAGAATTACACTGGCCAATCACAAAAAACACAGCACAGGTCAAACAGATAGGCTTTCTATCAAACTCTGATAGTATAACCCTACTCAGAAGTCACAAAATTCTCTGCTATTTAATTTAGAAAATATGGAAGAATATTTGCTGAAAAACCCGCTGCCATAATTTTTAAAGAGTAAAGGACATATTATCCTTGCATGAAGCATCATACTTCCCATAATTGCGTACTTCTGAAATGCAAACTTATGTTTAATAGTTTTTACTGTCTCTTTTAATGCATTTGATGGAAATATGGTGATAAAATTGCTGACTTTTATATTTCTGTGACTGCAGTGTACCATTCATGTCATAGTGAGGAGAAATGTCCACCTTGTACCTATCTCACTCAGAAATGGTGTATGGGCAAGCATGAAGTAAGTCTAGACACTTAATGTTCTTGAATATTAACTAATGTTCTAGGTCTGCAGGATTAGATTTTTGTGGCCTCTTTGGAATAAAATATGTCACTAGTGTTTGACTTTAATTGTGTTTAAATTAGAAAAATAAATATTTGATGCCATATGCATTCAGACCAACTGCTATATTGGAAAAACTGTCTTTGTCCTAATATATTTTAGTATTATGATTTTTGCATGGGCAGTGCCAAAGGAAGATGTGAACGGTAAAAGTACTTTGAGATTTTCCCTTATAGTTTTTTATTTTTAGTTGTGATCTTTCTCCTCCCCTCTTGCAGTTGCGAAGTAATATTCCTTGTCATCTCACTGACATTTCATGTGGACTTCGCTGCAATCAAATGTTAAAATGTGGAATGCACAAGTGTAAAAGAATCTGTCATAAAGGAGAATGTCTTATAGATGAAGAATGTAAACAGCCATGCATTATTCCAAGGCTATATTGTAATCATCCCTGTATGGCTCCATGTCATTCTTCTTCACCCTGCCCAACTACATCCTGCTGTGCAAAGGTTAGATGCCTAGAGAAAATTCACTGCAAATTCACAGGCTAGTTGTATGGTTTAATTATCAGCCAGTAACAGTTGTGACAAAAAACCTCATTTGTATATTGTCTTGGTTTAGAAGACAGGGGAAA